TATGCATGCAATATGTAAGTGCATTTGCAAGGTGACATAGAAGTATGAGGGGAGGCCAGTGCTGACAAGAACTGAATTATAGTACCAGGACTGGGGTGTCAGTGCATCGCCTCCTCTCCAGCTCCAGGTAGCATCTAATGTTTATGGTCTAGGTTCGGGACTATGCGCATATATGGTCCGCTGGGGCAACAGGCACCTTGCGACAGTGCACTCTGACCCGCTCGTGGTCTAGACAAGGAGCCTCATGTTATTGGAGAGGAGAGGTACACTGTGAGTATGGGTGTTCGAAGGGCAACATGTTCTGTAATTGTGTCTCGAATATTTATAGCTATTTATGTCAATCTGGATATAAGGATGGATATATAGGTTCCAGATACATGAACTACCTGTAGCACTGAATAATACAGGAAGTCTGACCTAGTAAGGGTGGAAGTAGTTCCGATAGGCAGATGTGGATAACACTGGTCATGCGGGCACAAGTCCAGCTATTCACCACTAGACAGTCATAGCTATCCCATTGACTATCTCAGCTCGTGAACCTCGCGGCAAGCGGTGCTAGCCACACGTCACCTGGAGCTGATTTACGGGGTGCATCTAGCGCTGGTCACCCGTCCCTGACTAGCTCTGCTAGTCGGAGCTGTTGATATCGTGACTATCACGACCTGCCTCACAGTGACTTCCCGGTCAGCCACGGGTTCTCTCTGGCTGCCCGGGCCGGGAGTGCGTAAACGCATTTTACCTCGGACCGGGCAATGCTTGCGTTGCCTGCTTCAGCGGGCATACTGGGGCTCGACCGATTGTCAGTTGCCAGTGTGCCACATCGCTTGTCCAAAAGAAAAAAAGGAGCAGTGGAAAACTGGAGGAAAATCGACGTCTTCCACTTCAGCACTGTCATGTCAGGTCTGCATCTTCCTGGTCAGGAACCCTAGCTCAATTCTTCCTTGAAGTACGATTCGGACAGGCTTGAATCTTTGTGACATCGGCGCCTCCAACTTTCAAATAAGGCACCCTGTGCGACGTCCCTTGCACTAGCTGGTGGGTGAAAGAGCCATGTGAGAGGCAGGCCCAATACTCGCTGTCTCACATACTCGACATGCCGATGGCGAGAGCCTTTTTGCGCAAGTCTCCCAAGTAATTGGATAGATAATCTGGTTTGACAACTGAGTGCAATCATGGCATGCCCGCCTTTGACTCCAGTGGCAACAAATACGGCCATGGCAAGCCACGCGGGCTTGCGATTCTCGATGCTATCGCGCAATCTTACCGTCTGATACCCATACGTGCATAGGCAAGGTGGCGTTTCCGGCCGAGTTCAATCTGGCCCGAAGACTCGGTTTTGCTCGACTGACATTGATTGCGGAATCTGTTACGACAGGTGAATTGGACTTGAGAGTACTAAGTCGCGTATTTTCTGACAATAGCCGAGCATACATAGCTAAAGAGCCTCAAGTAGACGTAATAATGCGACCAACACTAAGGCAGCGATAATGACCGACCCGTAGACTACGATAATTGGGAATAGGACAATAAACCGTACCCGACGTCTGATGGGATAAGCAGAAAGAGGCCCTACTCTCGAAGTGTTCGCAATGTCGTCAATCGTCGTCAAATAAGTTGACGACGTTTCCATCGGGCACATTATCGAGGATTAGCTCGACGAGATGCCTATGGTGCGCAACAAGAAGCCACGGGGGAAAGTTGATCTTGTAAGCAGTGTCGAAATCCACGAGTCTCAATTCGTAGGATCGGTGACTATAGGGCGATACCAGCGAAGGGAGGCCTGGGGGTGACGCAGGGGCTAGCAATACATTATCATAACGAAGATCGTTATCAAAAATGTGCAATTCCCCCAGATCCTTGGTAATGCACCATAAGTCATCTTGAATAGTTTGAGGGATGGGCTCGCCTAGACGCAAATGATCCCCAAGACGCTCCAGGAGCAGGATCGATATAGGAAGTTTCGTAGTAGCCACGCGGTCCCATCCGAGAACCTTAGTGTGCGGAGGGATCTCGGAGAGAAAATATCCATAGCAGCGGGGAATTGCGACGCCTTGAAGAGCCTCCATCTCCTCGTACATCCATGCTTCCTTGGAGAGCTTATCGCAAAAGTCGCGATTCGCAACTTTGACAACCAAAGGCGGTACAGCAACGGGTATTGAGCAGGATCGTATCTCAACAACGTGAACAGCCCCGACACGGCCCTGACCGAGCTGACCAGTAATAGAGAAGTCGTACGCCTCCGACCCTGGTCCTCTTGCCAGACTGGACAACCCGCATTGCATTCAGATCGCGCTCATGCCTTGCTAACCTTATTCCTTATGAATGATTCTGAGATGAGGAGCCGGTTCGGGGCACATGATGCGAGGTGGCCGCTGGGTCTCGTCGGGCACTTCTAGATTTGGAACAAGTGCTCTTTGCTTGTGAGCATTACAGCCGTTTGCAGATCGCGTAAGCCGGTATCGGTGTTGGTGACAGATCAAGAAAAAGGCCATGTATATATCATGGCAGTGGTTAACCTGGCGGGAGTCAGACCATGCTCTCCTTGTATAGCCCAGCTACCTATCGGAGCAAAAATGCAGACCAACTAACATTGGCGATCTATGTACTTCCTGCAGAAGCACTCACCGTAATTGTTGCGCCATGTACCTCCCCAATGTCCTTCGGTACTTTGATCACGTCCTGCGCACCTACGCACCTCTCGCTCGACCATGTCCCCGCTTGCTGTTTACCCATAACCACCCAGTCCCCTTCCTTCAGCCTAAACTGTTGCCGCGCTTCCTCTCCAGCGTTCTTGACGGGTTACCTCCAACATACACACCGCTGCTGTGTCCCAAGGTCTCAGTCGGTGTCTTCACCGGATATACACCCTGTACTAAGTTCATGTCCGCTGGGTTTATAGGAGATAGCAGGAACTCCACGTTCACCCCATGTCGGGATAGGAAATCGTGGAAAGCACACTGGATGGTTGGCCATTACTGCTGTATACGACCGCTCTGTTTGCGAGGCGGCGCGGTGTTATAGTGAGTTTGCGCGTCGGAAGCGACGATGCTCGCGGGACGTGGAAAGGACGCGAGTTGACGGTCCGGAGCATGGCTGGCGAAGACAACCCTAACCCCACTGGCAGTGACCTTTTCTGAATGCACAAGTATGCCGAAGTCAAGCCGAAGTTGCTAGAAGTTGCCGCACAGAGGCTTGTATGGTGCGGGGTACAGCGGCAAAATTGGTCTGAGAAAATTTTCAAAATCTAGATTACTCTCAATGGACTATTTTGTGCCCTGGGATGCTGCTTAACTGCTTTGGAATGATGTAGATAACCATAGAAAATTGGTATCCTGGGTATTCTGGCAAGCCAGTGGTTGCTGAGGTAGGATTATGTAATGCATAATATACCAAATATGGTAAGTGGCAAAATTGAATCTGACTCGAAAATATATCTCCCCCAATTTTGAAAATTTCGAGAATCCCTCTTGTAGACTTGTACCTTTCAAGAAAAGGAGTGTGTCTACAAGAGGGATAAGAAAAAGAGGTAAATTTGAGTCTTCCATATCCATTGTACAAAAGTGGTAGGCTAGTGCATATTTCCGATACAGCATAGGGAAGTCCCCCCTTAGCCCGCTTTTGGAAGTGAACCCCACCCAAACGAGTAGCTGGGGCGCCGCAGCAGTGGTAAACCACGTGCGTGGACCTTGCCGAATATACGGCAAAGAACTTCGTGCTGTTGACTCCTTGTTGTGCTCGCAGTACTATAACCTAGTAGTTGTAATTTATCCTGTAGATAATGTACCAGGAGGAGCTACTGAGCTTTGGGACTCCCCATTGGCAGTAGGAGACAGTCTGAAAAGCTACAGTTCTCTCAGCGTGATTTTTGATCCCAGTAAGGCTTCTACTGGGCCACATTTAGTGCCTCGACCCCCCCACTTTAAAGGAATTGTGTACATGAGGTTCTATGCGCTCTTGCGCATTCAGCGCGTACGTTATAGGCAGTATAACCCTCGGTGTAGGGTAGAGGAAGCGTTGAAGAGGTCGAGACTATATACGTGCCGAGGTCCGGCAGATGCCAACCAATGTGCACCTGCCGTTTTGGGCGGAGAATC